TATCGTTGATCGCAAAATGGTCCCTAAAGATTCCATACTTATCGGCACGCGTGAAGTTCGCCGATAAATTGACAAGTGGCAGCGAAAGCCTAAGTCTCCTCGAGAATACAGAGTAAAGTGCTTGAAATTACCATTTTTACGACGACATTACTGCCTGTAGACAAATGTAGGCCACTGTAATACCTAAGTGGTCTCGGTACCAATTCAATGAAACATCGTTAAATGGCTCCATTTTGGGGATTGAAAAGTTACCTTTATATCATTAGACGCACTAAAAATAACATTCATTCCAATAACTTTCATTATTAGACATAACACAGAAAATGTATCGATCATAGAACTCCCCCAAAATCTAACTCACACACTCTACGAAAATTCATGACCAAATAGTTACAATTTTTAGTCTATCATGATATTTAACATTCAGATTTTATATTACAACGCGTGTAATGGATGCATACAAACAGCTTACAATTAGTTTGATTTTTGAGAGGATCGACTAGTTCTCTGTTAATTCATATTGCACACGCATTCAATAAATTGTGGGCAACAATATGGTCTTCAAAAAAAATTGTGGAAAAAATGTTATTTTTAAGAAATTAACTAAACATCTAAAGCTCTTTATCACACCAAAATGGCACCATCTAGAAACATTTCACCCGATTCCCGTCATATCCTCAAAACCATGCAACTTCCTCCATTTTTTCCGCAAATAATGTCTCCTCCAATCATCGTAGTGAATATTCATGTCTCACCCTGTACACAAGTCGAAGAAGCTGACGAAAGTAAAAAAAAAAAACAGTTTCACCTCGCGTAGCCTCGGTGAATCGTTGTTTATGCGCTTTGAGACGAAACGGTCATAGAGGATTGAAGTCAGACGTGTTCGTTGGACGGACATCCACGCCGTGTGAAGAAGATCCCCGAAGCGCGTTCTCGCTTCAGAAAAAGCCTTTGCATTGAAAGGAACTGTTGTCTCTAGCGCGGAGAGACCGGGCCCCCTTTTGTCGGCGTGTCTAACAGCACACGAGGAAAGTAATCTAGATGACGAGCTTATCTCATGACAACGCCGGCGCCGAGCGATCGTTCGTCTTCGTTTTGCGCAGCTTTACGGTTGCGAACATGTTCGTCCTAGAAGAACGGTAACACGTTGAGGCGGATGGGTTTAATAAACTCGAACGGTTACTGCGATCCCGATCGAGACCCCGAATTGAATCGTTCCTTTAACGCTCAGCGGTGATTCGATCGGTTGACGAGCAAACGATTTCACGTGTTTGCTGAACGGGGACTCAATCGCGACTGGACCGTCGAACCTTTCGTGTGTACCGAACGAGCGTCACGCACTTGATTTGTATAGAAGGGCGAGTCGACCGAGGTTAAGATCCAAAATATCTCCGCGGGTAGCTATTTCTTTTAACTCCTGTGCACTGTTTAACAAACTGTTGCATTACTGTAATTGTTTTCGGTATGGTTGCTTATTTTGGAAACTGCGTAACGTACTACCGTTGGGGTAGTTTTGAGTCAGTCAGGGTAACTTTTTTTCGAAGTCACAAAATGATACTTTTTTATTTTGCATCTCTGCGTATTGTTATATTAAGTGAATTTTTGCATGTAGAAGTGTGGCACGTAAGAATACTTGCAAAAGGGCTGCAAAATTGAAAATGCTCAATTTCTAACTTTGGGAGAAAGTTACCCCGACTGTGTCAAAGTTGCCCCAACTTATGGTAGAAGAGGTGGTTCAGATACAGGCTAGGGTCTAAATGTAAACTAGCTGAAAGTATAGGGCCAGATACAGGGTAGGGTCTAAATGTGGGCTAGCTGAAAGTATAGGGGCATGACAGGTGCTTTATTCTGGCAGGAGTAATGTGACACTACGACTCAAGAACAAAAGAAGCTTATTTTAACTCTATATTTAGTCCTAAGTAGAGTAGTTCTAAAGTAAAAGTGCTAGCCCATATTTACACTACCCCCTTTACTATTCCTTGAATTGAACTTGTTCAGAGTTAAAATCGAATTATGGAAATATATTTACATACCGGTTGATCGTTAATATGTAAATTGCTGGTGTCAAATTAATTTATAAGTTTCGCTGACAAAGAATATAAAAATGTTACAATCTCAATTCATATTGGCCCAAACAGTGCACGAGGATTAAAGTTGGAATTATTATAATGGAGATTTTTTTCTCTAGGTCATAATTTCCGAGAGTCGGACACCCTCGACGTTCTCCTAAAGGGGATGACACGTTGTTGTTATTGTGATATTGCTCTTTACACTCGAGAGGCAATTCTCAGTTGCTATACATTTTAATACGGCGACTCGAGTGGCGAGTGAGAGGCGGTAGTAACAATTAGTAGGTACAGTTGACTTTTATTTTTGAGCTGTAAATTCGTAAGTCCTATTTGTGCATCTGGTAATGGTTCATTCCTTTCATGCGCCGTAGAATGCCGTGCTTATTTTTGAAAATTTCCTCGTGTTTGTAATTCTGTATTGGAAAAAAACCTCAAGTTACTAGATACCATAGCTAAACAGTGTCAAGGTGTAAATAGGAAAAGTTTATGCACATTCAACGTGTTGACCTTTGGATGATTGTAATGCTTTCGGTATGGAAATTGTTCATAGTAATTGTTACTCATTATTAAGAAGATATTTTAGATCCTCGTCTCAATGTACTCACCCTACGTATCAAAGAAATTAATTATTACGAAGTAATCGTGCAAAGAGTTTCACATCAGAAAGTTCAAACTATTTTCTCGTCATTTGACACACGGTGCTTGGACAAAAAAAACAAACCAGTTAAACCGTTTGCAAAACCTACGATCCTGTGGTCACGTGCTAGCATATCGAAGTATCGTGTGAACGTAAACACAGAAACGAGCAACAAATTCTCCAAATATTCGCAGGCGTGAAACGCAAACAAAATTGTGGATACCTGCATGCAGCCAGCCAGGGAAACGAAATATTCGTTTGGGCTCGAATTTGATCAAATGACGGCGACGATAAAATTTAATGAAACGGGGCCCCGAAACAAATTCCTCCGGCCGCAGCCGGAATAGACAGCGAAATAAACAGCAGTGGGACCATTTAACAAATGGTTGCAGAGCCAAGAGAAAAGTTCGTACGTGGTTGAACACGATAAAGCGGCGTGGCCAACATAACTCGTGGACAGAAAAAGTATAATCGACTGCTTTAAAAACGAATCATTGACAAACACGATGCGTGTGCATCGACACGAAACGCCGTGGGAACGGATCAAAATTTGTTCGCAACGGTCACGCGCGATATTCAAACGAACGAGTCTGTGATTTCAACAAATAATAACGCCATGAACCAGTTTACACGATTAACAAGTGAATGTTCGGACGTTAAATTTCGTGTTTCGATCGTTGCACGAGGAAACCGGTTAGCAAGCTCGTTCTTACGCGTCCCGCCGATATGTAATTATTTATGCAATTTGTTGGCTATTGACAGTCGTCGTTTCTAGAAAATGACACATTCGTTCGAATCGCCCGTGCGTGAACTGCTGTTTCTGATGCTTTTCTTGTCGCGATTGATCCAGGATTTATTGGACCGTGGGAAATGTGAAAATTATTCGCGATCCGTTTCATTTCGTATCAGCTACTTCCGGCTATTATTTAGACGTTTGTAATTTGTATTCAGATCGACACTTCAAGGCTGTTTGTAGCTGGTTCTTGCATATGAACTGTCGTTTTTCAACATATAATTCCAATATTAATCAATTTCATAGTAATTGGATAATGGAATTGTCAATTCATTTTAACGTGATTACCAATAAGCAATGTTTCTTGTTACAAATTGCTTGTATCATCGTTCTGCATAGATAAAGTGGTGAAATATTCTGCAAAATAATTTCAATGATCCTAAAAGAGGCATCGTAGCGTTCAGTATAACTAGACTGTGAAATGAACTAAACTGTAATGCAATCAGCTAAAAAATTATAATGAAGTTGAACGCAAACATTGTTTTTTTTTTTGCTAAATCAAACTATTCGAGTTCCTCTACAACTCCAATTTTAACAAATTAATCTAGACAAATAAAAATGTACAGAACAATTAGGCTATAGTTCCTCCTACTATTTTTATAATGACGCTTCAATATTATTTTTCTTTAATACAATTCAAAGAAGGATATTTGTGTCCTGACACCGAAAAATTCAGGAGCGACATTTCATGTGCACCAGCAACGACACCGATAACAATTAAAACAGAAAACTGCAAATTGCTGCCGCGGTATAACATGCGAGAGAACATTCACCGAAACGATAGCCAGGCTCACTGTCGACAAGCGAAAACAAACACATCAAGGAGACGACTGCTCTATTTCTATCAAGAATTATTGTACGTGCCACTTTACAGGAGCCAATCCAAGCATCAACGAATTACAATCGCTATCCTGTAACGACAGATCGAACAAGAGTTATGATTGGAACACCATCCATAACGTTGTTTTATCCGTCGCGATAGAAAAACCACTCGTCGCGTAGACGCTGTATCGATACACGCCGGCGGTGCTCGTTTAACGTCAACACGTCGATTTGCCCTCGTTGAACGAGCGTCGACGAAAGCGCAAACTTATACATATATCGAACAACAGCTACGCTTGCAGACTAAGACAAGCGTGAACGCGATCGGGAGCAATGGGAAAGCTATTTTGGTGGACGGTCATTCGTGATGCAACACGATTGGGTACGCATGGGATAGGGATGACGATCAAAACTTAGAAAATAACGATAACATAAAAACAAATAAAATCTTAAAGAAAAAATCATAAAACGGACCGCGGTTCGAGTGTCCATCAACGATCTCTTCGGGATCATCCCCGAAAACCAACGTTTCTTCACTTCGTTCCTCGAGACATTAAAGATACAGAGGTTCTCTCTGATCCTTCTTAACAGAGTGGACAATTGATAAGCTCTTTTAAGGGGCCAGGAAACCCCGATCGATGATACGAGACTGGGAACACGAGAGATTTTTCCAAGAGATTTACTGTTGCTTCTTCTTCTTCTTGTTCACCGAAGCATCAACTCCCCAGAGATCGTACCAGGGACCGCACGTATTTTTATCCCTCTCCCGATCAGAGTCCCTTCGCAGCTTAGTCCTGGGCAGTAGAGTCTTTTCGGCCACTGTTTGATCCTTGACGACGATGCAGCTGTACGTGGACTCCTCGTCGGACGCCTCGGTCTCGCTGAAGTTCTGCGTCATGCCATCCTCGTCATCCGTGTACTTTTTCCTCCTCTCATTTCGCTTCGCCTCATTATTTTCCTTCAGCTCGGCCACGATCATGTTCCGTTTGGCCTCCAAGCTGCGCTTCCGTTCCTTCTCGATGATCGCTTTCCGGGATACATTCCCCATGAAATAGGATCTCTCTTCCTGTGGCATTCTGTACTCGGACCTTTCGACAGCCTTCGGTCGTTCAGCCGGGGTGGGAAAGTCCTCAAAATAATCAGACTTGTCGGGCACGTGGCTCCTCTCCGCGGGTTTCAGTTCGTCCGATCGGGGCTCGTTGGTGATCGTCACGTCGCTGTTTCTCGTCTCCAGACTCTGACGGGAGGTCGGACTGCCCTCTGGACTTTGCTTCTTGGTCTCCTCGGAACTTCCAGTGCCGTCTTTCACCTCTTTCTTAACCATCTTCGGAATGTCAACCAGAGACCTGTGCTGCCAAAGTGCCATTCCTTCCAGGACATCGGAATCTCTTCGGAACCTCCAGAACGATTTTGTCCTCTTCACCAGTTTCGGGCTCTTCGAATCAACTTCGAAGGCTCTGCCTGTTTGTATCAAATGTCCAACCGCGGTCGTCTGTCGCGGTAGCAATGGCTTCCTATTATCATCCTTCAATGTGTTATTGTTAGTATCGTTCTTCTCTAGACTGGGTGGTCCGTTTCTCTGGAACTTCTCGTGGTTCTCCTGTCCTAGGCTGTTCTGATAACCGTGCCTTTCGATCACCTTCGTCCGCTCTAACTTTGTCTCGAAGTTCGACTCGTAGCCGCGTTCTTTGTCAACGGTCACCTCCCTGACGAACCTGGTCTCGCCGTAGATGGCTTCCTCTTTGTCGGAGTACCTGCGTTCTCTGTACATGTTTCGAGGCTCTGTTGGTCTTTCCGGTGCTTCTTCGGATGGCGGTCTAGGTCTCTCGAAACGGCGACTGGACGCGCGCTCGATGTTTCGGTTTCTTTCTGGGTTCTTCTCAAAAGTCCTTTCTCTCTCGTAAGTGGAGGTCTTCTGCGACATTGGCGGTGACTTCTCGAAGTAGCGCTCCCTCTCCCTCTCGAACCTCTGTGGGCCACGGCTCCTCTCGCCCTCATTGTATCTTTCATAGGGTGGAGGAGGTTGCTTCTCTTCTCTACGTTCGAGACTTCTATACTCGTTCCTACGCTCGATGAACTTGGGCGGACTGTGTTCCCTAGCGTACTTTTGCGCTGTTTGCTCCAACTTCTGAGCGATATGTTCCACTTTCCGACCAGTCTCTGGGATTGTAATGGTGCTTTCGTCATCGGTTACCGAGGACGACGCGGATGAAGTCTTCTCGTTCTCGTATTTCGACTCTTCCTGCTCCACGGGACGATAACCACGTCGGGAATTACGCTCCTGGCCGTCAGCTTGGTAATACTTCTTCCCGTCGTACTTCTGATAATCGATTCTAGCGCTGTATCTGTCCTCCTCTTCTTCCTCTATTTCGATTTCATCTTCCTCGGTCTCCTCTTGTTCTTTCGTTCTTTTAGCCGCGCGACGCTCCTGTTCAACTTGCTCGTTGTTTCTCCTCGATGAACTTCTCAACTGCTCCTCGTTGCTGGTTGTCTTATTCTTGTGATTCGAACCGCCACGGGCACGGTTATCGTACGCGATCTTCTGCGTCTTCTCCTGTGACTTCTTCCCCGATTTTCTGCTCGGTCCATTCTCGATGGTGTCGCGGTCCGAGTAATCCCTCCCGTTCTTCCGGTCCTGGGTGTCGTAATGTCGACCGGATGTGTACCTGACCTCGCCGTTCTCGTTGCTCTGATTCGCGTTCGACTCCGCCCATAGGTCCATCGCGGTTCTGTACAGCTGCCAGCTCTTCTCGTCTCTGGGTATCGTCTTCCAGGAATCGTTCTCCCAGTCTTTGCCCGCAGACTTTTCGTCCTTCTGCTGCTTCGCTGCCTCGGCTATTCTGTCGGCGCGCGGCTTTCTTCTTCGTTGTCTGCGTTTTCGTTCGGGCTCGGGATAAGTAAAAGAGAAAGCGAGAAAGAGAGAGAAAGAGAGAAGAAGAAAAAGAAGAAAGAAGAACAGAAGAAAGAGTAGAAGTAGATTGAAGAGAGTTGAAGAGTGCAGAGAATGGAGAGAAAACCAAGAGCCAAGTATTTGGGTAGGATTAGTTATGCGGCTGTCGAGCTTTGTGGTCGCGGACTTTGTGATATGAGGGGGATGGGGGATATGGCTGCTGGCACCGCAGGAGCCCGGAGAGGTGAATGAGCCACCACCACGCCGTATTTTATTTCCATCGACCGCGATAACGCATGCGGAATCTACAAATCAGGAGAGAAAACAACATCGTGACTCTGGATACAAGCCTACTTTAGTCTGGGCACCGGTGGATGTTGGGCGTGACTAACTGTAAGTCGTCTGGAGGAGGAAAAGAATAAAATGACGGACGAGATGTTACTGGTTTAGATCTACACTCTCACTCTCGGTGAATTTCAATGAAAATATCGAGACCTCGACACTCTCTTGAAACTCTTGCTGTAACGTTAAATTTGATCTTTGAATTCGGACTGTCGGACTAATTTTAATCAATTCCATCCAATTTTTATATGCGCCTATAAGTGACGCCTTTTATTTGGCCTATCACATAAGGAAATTGAAAGTTTACAGGATCTAGTGTATTCTAGTCAGCAATTGAACATCTGTTACAACATTTCGTCTTTGAGACAGAAGTTATCAAAATTATCCATATTTGAGCTATGGAAATTAGGTATACTTAAGACAACCTTCAGATTGAATCAACATTTGAACGAAACAGTCTAAATAGAAAGGATCAATTTACGTTACAAGTCACGAACTACGCGCATGCATCTAACAATTCTGAGAAATTCCACGGAAATGAAAATTAAAAAGAAGTATTTAATGGAAAAAAGTCTGTTACAGCCAGAAGACAGAAGCTACTGGTCTACGTTGTAATTGTATGTACCCAGGACCACGGTTCCGAAATTACTTAGAGCGGGAGTAAAGTACAAAGCTCGGGGGGAGAGAGAGAGATCATGATTCAGACAGGCACAAGCGTTTCTACTGGTTTTGCCAACGATCATCAACTACCTCCGTCGAGATTCAATTAGAGAGATTCCAAAGTACCTTCTATGAAACATCGTGGCGGGATCGCTTACCTCATCGCCTCGTCGTCGCTGTAGTCGATGTCAGGCTGGGCCGGGGGCTCGTTCGAGAAGCCGCTGTCGTTGCTGCTGTGAAGGGACGTGACGACCTGGGGCGGCGGTACAGGCGGAGCAGGTGGCTGTAACCTGCGTCCACCGGCCAAAACGGTGGGCAACGTGCCCGATGGACGGATCTAAGAAAGATAGAGCATCAGAGTTTATGGGGCTTACATTTCACCGTTTTTGGCAAAGGGTGGAATATTTACTTTTATTGGCGGATCTGCGAATGCTTGAAGCTTTTTCTGCGACATAAAGAAATCAGCTCTAACTAAAGAATTATGGAATCCTCAATTCGTAGCTACGAGGATTTTTAAAGTTTGCACGAGTACAAACTTTTTGACTGGTAGATTGCTAATTGAATACTCATAAGTGGACTTTCGATTTTCTGAATTAATATTATTGACTGTATAATAAAATTCTACGCTTCCTTTTGGTTTATCAGAACTCTTAGCGGAAGAAAGGAATTTCTATTTAAGTTACATTTTTATTGCATAATCATGCCATGACGTAAATAATGTAGTCATGAGTTTAGAAGATGCACGAGTATTCTCACCGGTTTAGACTGGCGTGCAGTCGGTGTCGCCAGATTGTGTGAACTGTTGCTGTTCGACACGTTGGTTGGAGTGCCGCTGCTACTGTTATTGTTATTGCTGTTGCCGACGTTGTTCGCTACACCGTGGAAACCACTCGAGACTTCGTCCATACTACTCGGTGTCACTGGCGGCCGAGAGGGTGGAGGCTTGCAGGGTGGGACTACTTGTGGCTCCGATGCGCGACCATTGTTTGTTCCATGGCTTGGCGATCTTTGGATAATACGATATTATTTTCTTCAATAGGAATAATAACCATACCAGGGTTAAGTGAATCTGTATCGTTAAAAGTGTTAAAATGGGAATAGTTCTATTAAACAGCATAAACTATAACAAGCAATCTCTAAATAAAGGGTGTCATATAACTGGTGGTATAATCGGGTAGAGGGTGATTCTACGTGAAAAAATGAATCGATAATATCGAATAAAGTTTTTCCATTTGCGACTTCGTTTTCGAGAAAATCAACTTTGAGGATCTGCTGGATAGGCGTGCAATTGAATAAGATTTGGTTAGTGTGTCTGTTCTTTGCACTCCGTTTGTAATTGCTACCATGACGAATACACGCGTTATAAATTAATTTTCAAAGTCAATTTTCTCGATAAAGAAATCTCAAATGAAAAAATTTATTCTACATTTCCGAAGAGAAAGTCTCTCGAATAGGTTTAGTTTCAAGAAAGGTTACACACGAATTACCCGAAGTGACGATTCTATTTCCCGATCGTACCAATGATTCAGAAGCAGATTCACAGTTTTACGGGCGCGTAATACCACGTGGATCGATCGACACGATAAGTCCCATTTAAGTGGCTCCGACGTAAAATTTTCTGTCCGTCGCGTCGTAAATCGACCGTCAGAATAATAGGATTTAGGAGAGCAGATGCAACAATAACACCAAGACGAGGTAGGTTTAATGGGAATAGCTGCATCGATGCCCCGGCCGTAGCCCGTTATCGTTCTAGATTAGAGCAATTGCATTCGACCCCGTGCAATTGTTAGTAACGAAACACCGTAACAAGATCTGTCCCGATATCGTTCGGAGCGACCGTAGGGGGACCGACCAGACTTTCCTGACTCCGTTCACTTACCCAAGTATATCGTCGATAATAATTTCCGTGTACGCCAGCGGGAACCATCCGGAGCTGTGCGTGCGGAGATTCTCCCCGAATTGCCAGCCTTTCTGACGATCTCCTAATAACGCAGTTTCGTGAAACAGATATTACACGTTTATGGCGTTTGTTTGCCGAGAAAACAAGTATAGTGCTCGATAACGGCTCGAGCTTACGGGATAGCGAAGTATCCTACGAGAAACGATTCCTTAGGGGGGTGTGTTATTTATCGTTGATATCAGGGGAAGGAACATTGAGGTGTTGCTTATCGGAAATCGTTAAATGACTCTAGGGTGACGTGATTCTTTTGATATAGATTCATTAGAGATTAACGTGAAATTTACGATCCTATTAAAATTCTTCTTCCTTGACTTATATTTTAGATTGAAGCAGCAATACGGTTTAGATACGTTTCTTCAATTCTCATTAACCCTTTAACAGTGTGCTGAATCTATCAAAGTACAACCTGAAAATATTTTGATAGCATCTGATGTGAAACAGTCACAATAAAATATTTTACAAATATTTCAATAATTCCTCCTTATATTCCACTCTAGAATTAGTTCCTTCACGACGTGTTTTCTAATTGACAGTCCAGTACAAGAACGAGTCACGTGAACATTTTCAACATATGTTGAAAAATTAGATTTCTATTAATTCTGGCACCTCCTGATGTCTAGTTATTATCCCTTAATTTATAACTAATGGGCAAAGTTCTTGCCTTGTAATAATATATACCCAATATAGGTACCTAATATATTATTGTATATACAATCATACTATACTATGAAGAACACTACTTTACATAAAAACCTTAATGCCTCACAACGCTACTGTTATAGCATAGCGCCCTCTTGCACTGGACCCCTCAATTCATGAAAATCTATGTCCGCATAAACATCCAGTTTCTATCAGTAAAACTGAATCACGTAATTACAGCGCGTTGCCTGAACAAATATCAGACGCGCATATTAGATACTTAATTCGAATGGAAAGGGTGTTCAGACGTCCAACACTCACCCATCAACGCGATGAGATCATTCTCCAGGAAACTCAGCTGATTCTCCCCGGAGCTCAAATAGGCAAAGAGAGCCCTCGCGAGGGGTGCATCACCCCATCCGCCGGAGCTCACCCCTGTACCGCTGCCACCCCCGCCGACGCTGCCGCTGTTCCGTGATGCTGGAGGCGCCATAGACCGCGGCCTCGGCGGGGTTTCCGGGACCTCTGCGAGTACGAGCAGGTATACGATTAATTGGACTCGTTTCTACCCTAACGTGGCACGTCGAGTATTAAGTTCCTCGGAGTGGAAGGATTTCACCATTCGGATTCTACGTGTATACGTTCAATTTTATTTATGGACAGGAAGAGCCAGTGGAACGTATCGCTGGGAATTTTATTGCAAACAGTGAATAAGAAATAAGCTGTAATAACTAGGTTGTGGATTTTATGCATTTATTAGATCCGCGATTACCTGAACTGAAATATAACTTAACCTTTCATATAAATCAATGAGGGTTTTAGTTTATTTGGAACGTGATATAATCCCTAACAGAGCTGACAAGTAAATGTTTCATTCTAGGTCCTCCAAACTGATCCCTAAAAGTGAATACTTGCAAAAAAATCTGCAGTCTAGGAATAGCGTTTGTTGCAATATTAGTTGCATTAGCGTATATTTGATACGACGGAATATATCGTTCTAGAGTGCACTAAATTTACAAATGCACCATAAGAATCTGATTGAAACGACCTTAAGAAATGATTTTACAACGATAAAAATCTCTAAGTTTTTATATCTATACATTTATCTCTACATTTATCCAAGAAACGAAGCTAATGGATAAAGTAATGTGAACTACTAGCGCCAACCCACTAGCCGATTTCCTTTAAACGAGACAGACCGTTTCTTGATGAAAGTAGTTTGTATATTCGCAAGACATAAGTGATTCAGAGCCACGATACGCAACCAGAAACGTACAAACAGTTTGTTTCGCACAAATTGTTTCGTTTCCCTGCCCACCGTTGATCCAGCGGTTCCCGCATTTCCATTTTCTCGGCAGTACGAGTTCCCTGCACCTGCTGTACACGGTTTCTGCAGTACTCCTAACCAGCGTTTTCTGTTTTACCACGCCCCCGTTCCCGACCAGAAGAATGGCTATCAGCCAAAAACCGCGGCATTTCGAACGGGCCACGCTTACTTGAATATTTTTACGAAGTTCGGGATTCCATTTTTTTTTTCTGCTTTGCCCCATCGCCCGATACATTTTGCCCTAGCATTATTATCAGCGAATTTATACACTTGGCCGGCACACAGGAACGGCGTTTTAAGAAACTTTTGTACCGTGGAATCGAGAAGTTTCGCGTTATTTAAGAGCTTGTTCAGGAAAATGAACAATATACAGAAGCATACGGAAAGAGTCGAATGAATTTTCATGTAAAATTGGTATTAACACGAGGAACAAGGAAGTATAGCTGCCTGCCAGAGAAAGGAACAGATAGAACCAATTTTTATCGAAGTTCTGACACTTTTCTATATGTTTCTATTCTCTACAATGGAAATTTAGTCGAAATATTTTGATAATAGGTTCTTTGTACGAAAGTTTCCACACGACCTTTCTCCTGCAATATTCACTTTTGAATTAAAATTTTTTTTAGATATTTGAGTAATTCTATGCGAAGACTGTTTGAAAAGGTTGGTGAAATATGCTCGAAATATTTTAATAATGGGTTTCTGCATGAAAATTTCGACACGATTATTCTCCTAAAATTCTTAGTTTCCGATTAAAAAAATTTTGAGATATTTCAGTAATTCTCTGTAAGTACGGACACTTCGAAAACGGTGGTCTCACAGCGAAGACCCTCGTCTCGTTAATTCCAGTCCAGTGAATTGACGTTACGTAGAGTTCTGCAGAGATCTGGATTAATGCAATTGGCTCCTCCGTGGATAATGGAAAAATTGCGAAATTCTCGACTGCGTGGGGGACGGTCGACAAGTGGAATTCGATATTCGATGCAGCGAACTCTCTCTCGGCGCTCTCCAACTGTTTTGCGAGCACTTCTCCACCCGGTCGCGTTGCAAACGTTTGTTACGTGTTCAACCCCGCTGTCGACCCGCTCGAAACGTACTCGACCGTTCGGTTTCGCTACAATAAAAACGACCATGGGTGTCGTGTTCCCACATTCCCCGTCTTTGTCGAGCGCATACCGTTGTTGGTGTCATTTTCTACGTGAATTTGACTTGAAGCTTTTGATTTTCAACAACATAGCCAATTGGTAAGAAAACCACAACTAAAGCTTTGCTGTAAAAGAGTCGTGGAAGTAATAGAACGAAAGACAGATTTCTTTTTTAAATACTATTGGGTTGGAGCATATAGAATGTTCTTTTTGCGATCTGATATTTTTACAGTGGGATGACATTAGTTCTACGATATTTGTTTCTTTCTATCCTATCTTTATCCTGCTCTAGCTTTGTTATAGAATAAACCATAACGCCAGCGCTATTCTAATCTGAGTTATCTGTCCTTTAACCCTTTTACGACCGAAATATTTGTTGAAGAATTTGTTGTTTATCTACCGACCATTGCGTCTGTAATAAATGTTATGTTCAGATCAATTTTTGCATTAGGACTCGATTGGGACATGTACGTCCCTTTGGTCACGAAAGGATTAATACTGCCATTCGTGTGAAAGGGGTTGAAGACGTATGGCAACATTGATTTAACCACCAAATATAGGGCAAGTCATCTAGCTACCACACATATGACATATTATTTACATACACGTCACAGCTCCATTTTCTTAAAATAGTACTAATAAATTAAAATTAAATGGGAATTTGAGTTCGAGAGCTGTATGAAGCAATTGTTTCGTAGAATTTATGAACGGGTTTCACTAAAAGTTACATGAATTTCATAAAATTTTACAGTACTCTGGTAGAATACTGGAATAAGAATGTTTAAATATTGAGCAGATAATGTGATTACTAGAAATTGTTTTGCTGAAGAATTTCATGATTTACATTGACTTACCTGGGTCTAAAGATAACGTTGAAGCATGTAGGTTGGCCTCTGACCTTGCTCTAGACAGAGCAGTGGGTAGGTGCGATGATGGTCCTTGGTAAGTGGTGCTCGACACGTTTCCGGAAGGCGGTCCCGGTCGAAGTTCCAAGCAGGAGCTGTCCATGCTTCTGGTTTTCCTTAATTGTGAACTCATTGTGAGCTCCGAACCGCCATTTTCTTCGCTCTCTGGCCAAAACGAGACTTGCTACATAAGAAAATGACAGATAAATATCTATAGTAATGGAATCTGTGAAATCATTAGGGGGAAAATATAATTATTATGAATCGAATTCGTTCTCCAAAGAAATCTGAATTATGTTAATGAATCAATAAACGTCTAGGGATATTCCACTACTTACTCAACACTAACTTTATATCACCTTCAAACTTGAGAACTAAGCATGTTGGGTATATTATGATTCTAGACTTGTATACCAGAAAATCCAAGATACGTAAGCAACCATTATTTTCCATGTAAGCCTCGTATAAATTTCGAAGAAAACAGAGGCTAACGCAGAAATATTCACGGCATCACTCACCCTAAGTCTGGAGGCGAACATATCTTCCACGGATTGTGGTAAATATTCCCTGGTAGCAGCTACCTCGCGCCACTTATCAACCGAGGGATGAAGAGCAGCTAACGCGACCTCATGAAAACTCGCATAATGTTTCGCCAAGGAGCATTGTCGCTCGAGAACAAAGCCGTACCTTCTTCGTTCCTGAGTCATCGCCTGAAAAAGGAGTCAATTGGCTCAAATCCAAGTCATACACTGTCGTCAACTTTTTGCATTCCGACTAATTAATTACTGAATTCAAATTCAGAATGATCAGCGTTATTCGTGAAAAGCATCGTTAACAAATGGAAAACTTAATAAATGAAATTGTAATATGAGAACTGAGATCTGGTGTTAATAGCAACAGTGTCTAATATTTAACACTAGAACTGCCAAACCCGTCCACATGACGGATATCTTATTTCACAATTACTGAAATTATAATAATTTCCTTTGCATTTTATATTATACTATATTATGTGAAATTGTACTATACATTATGTATATTACTATATTATACAATTTAATTTAGTGTACATTCAAAGCTGGCAGTTCCAGTATTAATTTCCTCGACGCTTCAGAAACTGTCTAAATATCACAAAACTTCTATCCATTTTTATTATAACCCTGGAACATCGGTTTAAATTGTAGATTCTACTAAACAGTATATTAATTACAATTTCACGATATTTTCAACAATCCCTTACACTTTGCCTGTATTAATAGACCCGATAATATCATTACAATATAACCATGAATTCAAAACAAAATGATAACAATACTCAACCTCCCATCATAAGGTATACTATAATCTAACATTCCATCCTTATAATGGATTCCAAGAAAAAGATAAAATTATACAATAGTAAACCTAAATCCGTACTACAATTCCGGACAATCCAATAAATAGCAGAGGCTAAGCATCAGAGTGTTTTTTACGTTCTTCCCTCCAGTGTCCACGACCCAGTAGTTTGTCCATCCTATACTCACGTTCTTCAAGCTCTGCTCACAAAAGGCGTCCAGCTTAGACTTCTCCTCCTCGAGAATCTGCATGTTCTTCAGCTCTTTGTCCATAGCGAGGCCGGTCTTGCTCGCGCCCCTCGACTTTTTCCTCTGTTTCTTCATCGTCGCTGCCGCCTTGCTGTACGTATCAGACCTAGTCTTGTGCTGCTGAAGAAACTTCTTCTGCTCGCTCTGCGAAGAAAATGTATCATTTCATTATTCAACGGTCCCGGTTGCACGACCGAAAGACCGTTCCGGTTTCGGGGTAGCAACGCTCACCTGGACCACCTTGGTGTCTTTCTCCAGATTCGTCTCGAGGGGAACCAGCAGGTCGACGTAGAACGCCTTCAGCTGAAAGCAAGCAGCAAAAACCGGGGTTGGTTCAAGACACTGGAAGATTTTAATGCACGGAAGCGCGGAAAGTGAATCCGAAACGAGCTTAGGTAATGAGGGACTTTCGTCTACCCATGGCCGGACGCGAAAGAACCGACGCCACTTTCCTCCGCGATGTTGCCGGCCGTGTTTACGAGCCGCCGCTGTCTGATCTGTTTTTAAACGGCGCTTTACGCTGTGGTTAAACGTTCTGATTAGTCGAACCGGGGGCCTCGTAAAATTTAACACGCCAGGAGCAACCTGATCTTCCCCACGGCAACACTTCTTTCGCTAGTTTCACAGGTGTCTCGACTGCGATTTTCCTACGGAAATTAGTAGTGGGTATAGGTACTTCTTGTTTCACCCTTTTTATTGCGGTGAACAATTAGCTAACCATCGAACGGTCGACTGATAGAAGTGACGATGATATGGAGCCACCTTTACCCATACCAGAATGTTTATTTGTAATGGACAAAATGTACGAAGTACCGTTCAACAAACATCTTTATTGAAGGATTCTCACATAAAATTTAAAACTAAGAGTATTGGAACGTTGATGGGTCTGGACTGAGAATTGAATAACTGTAGACTAAGACTGACTTTTGGAAATATTCTGAACGTAGATGGAAATGCCTCGGAGTTCTTAAGGGTTTTCTGGAAGAGTAGTAGTAATGGTAGGGATAGAGCAAGATTTAGGGAGGATGACACTGTTGACTATAACAAAAGGTGACGTAGCGTTCGTCAGTTTTAGTAGGTAGGATTAACAAGCTTGTAGCTCGTGTGGAAAAGTATTCAGATTCCAATCGATTTTATGTCGACGAAAAATTTTCTTTTTACAGTAAGTTGTAATGGTTTTGTAATAGTATTAAAAGTTAAATACATTTTTAAGAAGCTCCCATACCACCCCAATAAATGCACCAACGTATATTATTGGGAACACTGAGCAATAGAAGCAATTTCGGTAATGGTACCTCTGATATCGAATACATGAATTCCATATAACAACCATGCAAGTCCTATTTAACTCATGAAGTAAAGGTGTCTTCGATGTGGCCCAACGTCGATTACCAGCTAACAATATAGACAAATTTAGTCGCACCTGACAAAACAGCTATAAAACAATACATATGAAACGAATGACAAATTAATTGTTGCTTACAATACAAGGACTAACGCGGTCAGAGAACTTCAATTCGGGCTGCAGCAAGAATTAATGAACAAGAATTTTATACCGACAGTTTAGTTCCAACGGACTCAGACTCGTGTGAAATTCATTGAGACCGCGTTAATTTCATGGGCCAACGAAAATTTCATTGTGCTCGGTTCCACGTGCGGTTGGTTATAAATTAACGAGGATTTATGTACGAGTTAACGGCTGCCGTTGTGCTTAATACATAGTTCGATTAAACATTTACTTCATAATAAATATTCACCAGTGGTGTTTTATAAACCGGTTCAAAAATTCTTCTATTTAGTATAAAGCTTTTGTCACAATTAATAAAAATTCGATGAGGAAAGTACTAACAGCATTTAACATCCATAATATTTTTATAAAAGACTTTTAAACGGACTGGATTACAGTTTTGCGCCATTTACATGAATTTAAAATACTTTTGATGCTTGGTGTCACGGTATGATAACGTTAATTTTATCAGATACAAATGCAAAAAAATAGTTGCCTGGAACAACAATCGAAATTACATGGTTGACATTTCCGTGGCGGGTAGTACGCTGTCGGGACGCATGTCGAAATAAAAATCAGAAAATCCATCCGCTGGAGCTCGTCGTCGGAACGAAATCCGCGGAGGCTGGGTGTTAGTCGCGGGCGAGCGACGGGACACGGGGCTGATCGCAATTTTTTTTTCCATTTCCCTTCCACGGCTTAATGGACATTGATTAGAGGCAGCATTTCGATCAGAAATACGTTTCCACGAGTGAGCAACCTTCTACCGGCAGTCGATCGCTGCCCGTGAAAAGCGGCCGTTGAAAGGGAAGAGAAATACGAGTTGAAGTGGCACTGTTGATGCCCTGAAAAGAGCTTGGGTGTATCCTCGATGCATTTTGCTCAGCCGAGGGTGCCTCTTATCCTCGTGCAGCCCTTCCTCCCCCCCCCCGTTCCCTGGTAAAACTCTTGTTTCCAACGAACCTTTGGCTTGTCAGATGAACAAGGGTCTAGATATACATATTCTGTACTACGATGCAGACGCATTGGAACCACAGCATTATCTTCGAAAGTGAAATTCTCTCGGCCAGCTTTCGGTTTTCGTCAGGTGTGTACGATTAGTAAAACTTGTACTACAGCCATAAGATGTACAAAATTCTAAAAGATTTAACTTTTAATTCCGAAATTTGTGACCCTATTTTATTCTCAGTAGTGAAAATAGTAGACGGAATTTACAAGTTTTTGGAAATATAAACTGATCTATCCAAACCCTAGGTCCTAGAGGAATGAAGATATCCAAAATTAGGTTTCCTTTTATAGAACTCCATGTTGTAGATTACTAATGAAACTTGTTTGGAGCCATAAAGTATATGACATTTTCAAAGGTTCAACGTTTGCCTTCTGAGATACTCATGGCCATTCTATTTTCAGTACTGAAAATAGTGAATCAAACTTACATACTTTTTGAAGTCTATACTGATTAGGAGGTAGAATAATAAAGACATCTGAAATTAGGATTCTTCTTCTATAACTCAATAGTTCAGAGGTTCATAACTAACCTCTGCACTTCTTCCTTAAGCCTTAAAATGTGGACGACTTTGATGGTGCATTTAAACCTGCGTGCACTGTTGAACAATTTTCTTTCTGAATTGGCTTTCTTTTTATTTGAATTGGTATAAACAATTACTAACTTAAAATAGTTATCGAAAGTTGTTGATTTGGAGGAAGTTCTCGGAATCTAAGGTCAACACGACCTAGTGATCATCGTTATGGGATTAAAATCAGTATATTAATATTCTTACATTCCTAGTATTCATTCACGAAATCATAAAATGCATCATGAAGGCAACATTGTACACCTATTCCCTCCGAAACGACGCAACCCGAGGAATTTCAATACAGCCCCGATCTAAAAAGTTCAGGACACAGAGAAAAATACGTAATAGAACCCGGAACTCGAAAAAAGCGGAAACGTGGCCCCGTGTAAAATATTGCAAAATGGCTTTACTTTCGCGGCGAGGCGCGGCGAACGGGAAACAAATCACCGAATTTACCCGCGCCCGAGTTTCGCGACTCTCGAATCCGATTCAACTCTTCTTGAAGCGACGTGTATATACGGGGACGGATACGCACGGCCGATTTTATTTAGGCGTTTGACAGTTTTACGTTCGGTTTTCTCGTCGCTGCATAAAAGTACATCGCGTTATTTATTTGTCGGGTCGGCTTTTCTTTTTCCCCTGCCAATTTTCCGTCGCGCGTATACACTCACACTTTTTTTTCCCCCCGAAGCGGTGTGTCCCGCCGCCTAGTTTACGAGACGATCGAAAACGAATTTGGCCCCACTGGAATTTTTGCCTGGTCCACCCTGGTCCCGAGAACGCGGGAAAACGGTCTGCGAATGACGTGTACGTAAACACGTGTTTGATTCACAAACTTGCGAATTTAATTAAGCAGGTTTAGAGGCCAGGATAGGTTGCCCGCGAAAAATGGCAGCCGCGAGATTTTAATGCTCGCGCACGAAACTTTTACAACCGAGTTTACGGTCTGTTTCCTGGTTTAGCGTCGAGTTGCTTATTTCATTGTTCGTTCCCCCCACCATCGCCACAACACACCCCTGTAACTCCTGTTTCACAGTCAGGTGAAAGAGGAATCCGGTATTACGCCTTTGTTCGTACCGATTCCGGGCCCGGTATGTACCGATTTCCGCTGAAAGCAGAAACCCGTGGAATTCTTTTTGGACTTTCGATAGCTTTCGCTACGCTATACAACAGGGGAATAATACCGAAGACAATGGGCATTAGAGAACGTCGTTGCGTTTCGCCGCGATGCATCGTGCATTTTGTTTTTTTCGTTTTTCATCGTCTCGTCTACTACCGACCAAAAAACTTTGATAATTGGATCGTGAGTGTTTTACCACTTTCATAGACCGTTTTGTAGTGGACAGAATAATGGAAGAAACGATTCCGAGATTAGACGAGAAATAAAAATTTCGTTAAATTTTACAATATATACCTCGATAATATTTACTCGAAATGTTTTCAACCTTCTTTAGCACTGATTTACTCTACAATCTCATTATACCCTTGGAATATGTTTTAAGCTGCTGCAGCAGTGTTAATTCCTCTGTCACGCTCTTATAACGTAACATATTAACTACGTTCCTTTTGAAGTTTCCTAGTGAAGTTTCGACGCACAATTGTCTGAAAGTGTCCATTTAAGATATTACACACACCAAACAGAGAAGTGACGAAAACGTTGAATTATATTGTCCCATAGTCTGAGTCTACAATGAACTAATACCTAAGTTTCTCGAACGATCTGAATATACAAAATCATAAACGAGATTCCTGGTGCACAACACGGAAGAAACAATCGCGTCTCGGATTACAGATTCACCCTATCGCTATTTCCCTAACAAAGAGGAACATCCCGTGCTCTAAACGTTTCGCCCCCCCGCGTTTCAGATGCCAAGATTCCTCTCAGTCTCGCCTCCCCTTCCAATCCTCTACTTCTCCACCTCCTGCTGCGCGAAACGCAAGCTGGAGGATGGATCCGGGAATGCGAGCTTTTCAAGACGGATGTGAAAATCCAACATAAAAAGCCAGCAAAGTCACGGACCTTCGAAGCCGACGAAACGCCGGGGCAAACATCCCCTGTCTCTCTTTCTCTCTCTCCATCTCTATCTCATTCTTCGCCGTTCTCACTGCGTGTGTGCAAATTTGAACGGCTGAAAACTCGCGTCAGCGCCCTCTGGAGCGGTCCGTTTCCATTCCCGTACTCGACGTCTGTCGGGCCGAAGCAGATGGTTCGCCTTTCA